TAGAACTTCAAAATGGTCCTAGATTGAAAGCAATGCACTTCGCTAAAATATTTACTATTATATCCACATTAAATGTTGAGGCCAAGAGATGCTAACACGATGTACATCTGGCGAAAGCATTAAATGTATTGAATTGGAGTTAAAAAGATAAACAGCCAGAACCAATAACAAATAATTACACCATAAATAGTTGCTTTCGATCATCTGTCGATCACAAACGTAACAAGAGAAACAAAATGATTATATTAAAAGATTAAAATGATTAAGATCTTATAATAAAATACATTGTAGACTGACAATCAACAACCATAGATTCTAGTTCATGTTAAAAACAAATTGAATGGTTCAACTTAGGGTCCTAATTCCTCACTCGTCACTAATTGGAAAATCACTGTTTTTCATTGTAGTAATCCCTAAAATCCTACACTCATTTCCAAACACCAGATAGACTAAGACCCAATTCACATAACCACCGAAATAAAGAATCAGGTACCAATTCCGAGAAATAATAGTTGTACCCATCACCAACTAGAAAATCCTGAATACATCTTCAAAAATCTGATTTGACCAAATGACTAAAACCCTAGTATTATCTAGGGCATAGTAAAAACATGAACCTCAACACTTCAAATTCCACAACAAATTTGAAAAATCAAGCCCCATTAATCGTGTAAAACACATTTCCAGCTAAAAAAAACCCAGATTAATCTAATTCCTAAAACCCCAAAATCATTTCCGAGAAACTCTTAACTATAAGGACCCAAAACCAAAATTAAAAAAGGTAAATCTAAATAAACATTCCAAATTTCGTAAATATTTGAAGAGAAAAAGAAATGGAGAAACGAAACTCACGATTTCAGCTTTCTTCTCCTTTTCCCAGCCATAGTGAGAGCAGCCAAAAGAAGCTAAAGCCTCTCTCTCTGTCTTCGGTGCAGCGAACGATATGAGTGAAAGAAAGAAAGAGAAAGGGAAGTTAAAATTATACAACGTACTTACCATAAGTGGAGATATATAGACACGTGGAAGATAATGCAGGTACCGTGGGCCATCCAATCATTGATGGTAACGTGTACAAAATACTTTGACCGTCTACGTGGCAGGTTTCTACTGGATGGTTTCAATAGCATTTGTATGGATGCTCCTGCATGGAATGAAAACTCCGATAGTTACTCTTTTTAGTATAACAGCAATAAATTTTGACTTTATAGGAGAAAGTCCACGATGCTCATTTTCTTCCTCGTAAATTTGGATTTAATAGATAATATTTTTAAATTATTACTTATTATTTATTTAGAGGAGAAAATGTAACTTAATTTAAATAATTTTAATCATTTTGTTGAAATCTTAAAAAATATAAAAATTCTCATATATTCTTGAACTGTTTCAATAAAAAATAAAAATTTTCATGTACTATTTCATGTCTATATATATATATATATATATATTAATTATAAATTCAAACTAATTTTTTAAATTATCTTAAAATTATTTCAATTTTAATATTTTTTTTTAAATTATGGACCGATAAATCATATATTAAAATCATATCCCGAACACTTTTGAATATATAATTATAATATAAAATCAATATTAATGCATTTGATGATTATCGTAAATTAATAAAAAAAACAATCATTGGATAAACATATAATTTAGAAATTAATCTTTTAAAATAAAATCAATTCTATGAATTTTTCTTTTTTTTTTTTTGTAAATTTTACCACATGGATAAAGAAATGTTTAGCCTTACATTTTTGCAAATTAAAATTACTAGTAAATGCATTTATTATATTTAACATATAAAAAATTATACCATTTGATGGCAGCTTTTGTTGGTTCTTGACGTGTTCATTAAATTCGAAATAAATTTCATTATAAATTTTTTTAAAAATGAAATAAAATTTATTATATCGAAAGATAAGACAAAACAATTTTAGAATATTTTGGACCCATAACAAAATAATTGATGTGATGGAACAATATAAGGTTAAAATGGAATGGTGATAAGATAATTTTTTTTTTATATTTTTTTAGTACAATGTAATATGATATATATTTATTTTAAATTCACTTACATAATACCATATATATATGAGTAATAGTGGAAAACGGGGAAGATGAACGTAGAAGTTAGATGTGAAATTCTTAAAGCACATTCTGGCAAATACAAAAGTCAAGAAAATTACAGTACCAATTAGATCGGTACATTGAAAAATTAAGGTTCAAAACACAATCAATCAAACAACACCTTAGAGTTTGGGGCCTAAAACCCACTTTAGAAACCCACTTCTGCTTCTTCTTCTTCTTCTTCTTCTTCTTTTTCATCTTCTCGTATCAATAAAAACAATCTTTCAGCCATCAGATCAAATGAAAAAACCAAACCCAATGAACAAAACAATCCAAATTCACATACCCAATTTCCAAAAATCAACAGCAGATCGGGCACTGAATCAATCCATTCTCATTACACTCACCACATTTCACCATCTTCTTCTGTTGTTCATCCATAACTTTACAACTCCCATTGCACTCCACGCACATCAGAAATCTTACTCCCCCACATCCCTCGCAGCAGCTGCCGATTCCTCTCGGCATTTCCTCCAACAAGATACCTAACTTGCCTTCTTCTTCCAACTTCACCACTTCGTCTGCTCCCCCGATCAGCCTTCCTTTTACAAAAACCAGTGGGATTTTCACTTCTTTTTTCCCCATTAACGCTCTTAAATCCTCCTTAAACCCCGAGTCCATTGATATATCTCGCTCTAACATCTGCACGTTGTGTGACCCGATTATGGATCGAACAGTGTTGCAGTCCTCAAATGTCTTTCTGATTCCCCGCAGCGTGGTGGTGTAAATGACGACAGCGTTTTCGCCTCTCGGCGGGCAGATTTTCTCGAAAGATTGGAGGATTTTCTCGGAATATTCTTGGGATTTGGTTAATTTTCGGGTTTGAGGTGCGGGTGAAATTATCATCTTGATTTGTTCTCCTTCTTCACAGAGCTCTTTCTCGTATGAAGCTACGAGGTCTGGATCGAAAAGTGGGCTGAAACTTTGTCTCCTCTGCGACAAAAACCCAGAGTCGCTCAACTCTGATTTCACCGGAAAACTCAACCTCAACACGGCCCTGCTCGGAGTCTCTAAAGAATTTATCGTCTTCAAGGTCTGTTTAGGGCTAAATCCTGACCTTCCTGGAACAGAACCCATGACATTCGACTGTCCCCTGTTCTCTTTCCCTCCAAAACGCTTCACCTTCTTCGGCGACCCAATCTGGCTCAAGAACTTCAACGGACTCCGGCCGTCCTTATCTGCCAATCCCCGGAGAAAAACATGCGTTCTCGGGCTTTTCTTGGCCGAAACCGACATGGGTACTCCCTCCTCGAGACCCTCCATCAACTCCCACGCGTTAATAACCTCCGGCTCGTCTCGAGGCGGCGATCTCTTCACCCCCGCCGCCGTCTCTACAACAATCTCTTTAACGGGTTGTTCTTGGTGTTTCCTTCGTCGTTCATTGTCGATATCAAGCACGCCGTAAGTACTGGAAGTGAGAGAAACGACGTGGTTGATGTAGTCGCCGCCATTATTGAGAATAATATCTCGAGTGAGTTCCTTCTTGAAGTGTTTTGAAGAAACGCAGCCCATTGTTTCTGGTTCAGTCCTACAGTTATCAGGACAGTTTTTGTTCGAAATTAAGGAAAAAAAAATCCGAGGAAGAAGATGAGGAGACTTAATTTCCTTTTTGAAACATGACCGTTACTTGTCCGGAACGGGCCCCAACGGTCAAATTTTTCGAATGTTATATCGTGGGAGCTTTGTCGGAAGCCCCTGGATTTGTCTTTTATTACTTTTTTGCCTCCTAAATTTCCCAATTATTAGAATTTTCTTTTATCCATCATATCCCCATTACAGTTTTATTTTTTAAGATCTGATTAGATCATGATTTTTTAATAATTTAATATTATGAAGCGTACGCTTTTTAATTACTTAACATGAATTATTAATTATCGTCTCTACAGCTTTTTCATCAATTTTAATAGTTTAATCACAAAATTTTAAAGAAAACTAAAAATTTTTTTTACAAAAATGACATGTAATTTTTACCAATTAAATTATTTATTAATTTTAAATGTTTTTTTTTTAAAACTATTTTTAGCAAATTAAATTTGATTAAATGTCCTGTTTGAGGATAAACAGTTCAGTTCGAGTGAAAGGCCCAAATTTCTGACAGCTTGAAACTTGCAAGCCCAACCTTTTGTGAAAATTGGCCTTTCTTCCCATTGATATAATTTTTAAAATTAAAAGATAATTAATTAGCTTATTAATTATTAATTTTAGTTTAATCCAATACTTAAGTTTAACCCATTTGGTTGGCACTAATCAGTTGGACGCTTTACGAAGAAAACCAAAACCCTTTTTTTTTTTTTTTTTGGGTACCTCGAATATTATTATAAATCATTTTTTACATATGTATATACATATACATATAATAAAGGGATGGGATAGAGAAGACATATTTAACATTTATATATGAGGCGTCTATGGCAGGATTTGGCTGGAATGATCTCATTTTTGTCTACACAATTATGTCAAGACACTGTGCTGTGTGTGCAAGACACATCACGTGCCTCGTGATCCTAAATTGCCGCAATCAAATTTCAACACAGCCCATTGTTTCTTGCCTCTTGGGTTATATCTATTATAATGTTTATATATATATATATATATAGAGTATGGGTGTCTTAGAAAATTATGGCACGTTTCTTGTACCATTAAAAATATCATAATCATAATCATACTCATAGTATGTAATTACTCTTTGTTCTACACTAGTCAAGGTAAAAGTTTTGAACTTTGAAAACATAATGACAATCGTACCAATTCATAGTTTAATTCAACATCAAAATAGAAAAAAAAAAAAAAAAGAAGAAGGTTCCTCTTGTTTTGTCGTTATTATTTTATTTTTCCAATTAAAAAAAATATATTATAAATATCGATATTTTTTAAAAAAATTATAAATTTTGAATATATTTACTGACAATATAATATTTTATAAATAAAATATAATTTAAATAAATAAATCCTTACAAACTCCAAACTTTAGATATATTGTATATGAGATATTTGGACGCATTAGGGCATAACCTTAATGATTGCTTTTACTATAGCCACGTGGCATTATGTGATTCCCCCCAATTCGGCTGTTCCCAATTTTATTAAAAAGTCAAGAATAACCTTGTTTGTATTTTTCTTATATTCCATAAATAATTCTAATTCCGGAGGACAAATTTGACTCGGTATGTTACTTTTTCTTGCTGACGTCATACCATTCTAGAACTTTTAAAAACGCTGTGTTTAGTTATTATAATTAATTAGAAATATTGGCTTTAATTATTTGATAATTAATTCAACTGCTCGATCATTTTCGATATTGAAATCCAGTTGTTGGCTTCAAAGGGGTCACCAAATTATTATTATTATTATTATTTTATAAATGGTATTTTTTAATTTATTTTGGTATCAAATTAATTGTAATGTATAAATATATATACATACATATATTATTTTATCAATTGACCACGTGTACAATTTGGCTGATGTGGAAAAAAAACTGCCAGACCAATGAATAATTGTATGAATCAAGACCATGGGTAGCATTTTGAATTCGGAGTATCTTTAATTCAATCAAATTATAATTCGATACGATAATATTTTTATATTTAATAATGAATTCGGATTCAATATAGTTTAAGTTGACAATAAAAAACGAGTGGGTTTGTACTGATTTAAACTTGGTATTTTGAAAAATAAATCAAAATAATTTATATGCACCAAAAAACTAATACGTATATATATTATATATATATATAACAGAAACCAAAGAATCATCATATGTTCACATGAGTTATATACAGCTTAATTATAATATTTTCACCTTTCTATCTTTAGGTAAGTCAAGGGTAAGTCAACTAATCCTCGAATAGAATTTGTCTTGGTAATCCCCAAACCAAATCTCTCTCTAATCTCATAAATCCTCACATTAGATTTATCTTTTCTCAATCCCATTCTGGAGCCGAGCCGAGCCGAGCCAGTTGGATCGGCTAACCAATAAAATTGCGATCAGCGTTTTTCCCATTTTGGCTTTCGCTTTCAGTGGATTTTCTTTTTTTTTTTTTTTTTTTCTTCAACTATCTACTATTTTCGTTGTCAAAATATTAAAATTTAAATAGAAAAAAATACAAAAAAGGAAAAGAATGCTTTCACGAAATTAAAGATCGCCGAATAGCACAGGGTCAACAAAGTTGAAAAATTAAAACTCTTACCTCCAAAAATTAAATAATTAAATAAATAAAATTAGTTTTTTTTTTCTTTTATTTTATATATATATAAACCTGCCATGGCGACCACACTTCTCTCTCAGACTTTTTATTCCCCTTCTGCAAAAAGCCTCTCTTTCTGTTTTTCTTTTTCATCTTCTGCACGAACTTTTGTGGCTTTATACGTACCATGCCACAAGTGGATCTTGAGACGCTCGTGTCAGCCTGTGCCGGCGGCTCATGCGATAGGAAAATCGCCTGCGAAACCCTTGCCACCACCGACGCTCAGACGGATCATCCGCCGGGTCAACCCGATTCTATTCCGCCGGATTTCCCGCCCGATTCGTTTTATCTCTCCAAGGACGACGAGTTTGACTGGTTCGACCGAAATGCCTTCTACGAGCGCAAGGATTCTCAGAAAGGGAACTCCAACTCCACCAATTTAAACCCGAATGTGAACCCGACTTGTGTCTCCACGTCTCAGCGGTTTGCTTTGAAAACCAAGGCCTCTATCATCGGCTTGCCTAAGCCTCAAAAGGCTTGTTATGCTGATGCGAAGAACAGGAGGAACTCTAAGCCTGCTATCACTCAACTGTTCCCTAAACGGTCGGGATCAGCAGGAAAATGTGATTCTTCCGTACTAGTCGAGCCTTCTTCACCGAAGGTTTCTTGTATGGGAAGAGTGAGATCCAAGAGAGACCGGAACCGGCGGCTGAAGAACCGCCAAAAACCGGAAAGATCCGAAGAATCCAGAAAAGGAAAAGACAAATCCATCTCGAGAAGGAAACCTGGCCTCTTGGCAAGTTTACGATCAATTTTCCGGTCAGGCAGCAAGGATCAGACGGCGCGTGATAGAAACTCGCGGCAATTAGATTATCCGTCGGCGAGGAAGATCGACACAATCACGACGCCCGATATCCGTAGGAGGCTGCCGCCGGGAGATGCGCAGTCAATTTCGGCTGAGTCAATTTCCCCGCCGAGGAAGAGCGGCAACGCGAGGAAATCGTTCGAATCTGAACCGGCCGGTCTGGGCGGAATGAAACGGTTCGTGTCGGGTAGGAGATCCGACTCGTGGGCGGATATCGACGCGGTGGGATCGTGATTGACATTTCGTCTCTAGCGAGGCGCGTGGGGCCCCTAACACAGTAGGAGTTTGGTGGCGGTCTTGATTGGGTAGCTTGTGCGGGGCCCGCTTCCGTTTAACATGTCGTTGGTATGACGTGGCACGCTGAATAACGGTCTCTCCTCCACGGTAAAAAAGTAAAAAACCACAGTTAATTCCCATCTCGTTTGCGTTTACTTTTGCTTTTTTTTTTTTTTTTTCTACTCTACTCTTTCTGGCAATTGTTTGTAAATATTATTGAGTGTTTTTTTTTTTTTTCTTCTTTTTGGGAGTGAAACGGTTGTAAATTTTTGTTGTAATAGTCACATTATTATTAAAAAAATTTAAAATTATGTTGATTGATAAATAATCAATCGTAAATTTACATGGACGTGAACCAGAATATAAAATTAGGATATATTTTAAATTTTTAATAATAAATTAGGATATTAAATTTGGTCATAATTATTTTTCTGTGCCAATTAATTATATAGAATATTAAGTAATTTAGGAAAAAAAATCATGACCCATCATTATTCGAATTCTAATTTAAAATAAAAATAATATAAAATAAAATTAGTATATATCATACTGTACTAAAAAATCATTAAAAATATATATTTTTTTAAAAAAATTTCCGTGAAGGTAATTGCTATTTTACTTTACCAGTACAGCGTATATGAGATGTCATAATCCAAATATAATTTTAAAATTACGAATAAATTAGACTAAAAATGTTTAAATTTTTCATTGGAACTAACAGATAAGTAAATACATAGCACACGTTAATCAGGTGGATATAAAATAATAAAAAATAACAATAAAAAATCACAACTTAATAATATGTCTAAAAGATATTAACATTTTTAATTTTTTAGATTTTTATTATTATCTAAATTAATTTACTTTTGATTATTTTCTAAATATTTTTTAAAAAAATATATGATATACAACTAATAATTATTTATAACGTATATTTTATTCAAACAATTTTATCTGTTCTGCTCGTAATATGTCTTATATATATATATATATATATATTTTAAAATTTTATATATTTGTTTTATATATATTTTGGTTGTGAAGGGTGAGAATGGGACAGTTGAGTCATACACGATAGGTGAGGGGTCCGCGTAAAGCAGCTGGCATTGTGAATTGCCTTCTAACCCAAATGCCGTTGATTATAACACTTCTGCTGCTCTCTCCTTTTCATTTTGACAATGACATCATGCTTACCACAGCCATCTGTACGGATCATTTTTTAAATTAATGCTACATGATTAACCCCGGAAATTCTGCCTAAATATCTTTTATTTTTAATACTAAAAAAGTTAATCAGATTTTTAATCAGTTAATCTTGTTAATAAATTTATCAGTTTAGTATAATTTTACCTAAAGTTTTTTTTTTTTCTAATTAAAAATTATTATTTATATCTCTAATACTAATTTTTTTTTTTTTCGCTTTTTGTTTTAAATTTTATTTTGCGAAATAAGAATAGTAATACTATAGAATACAAGTATGATAAAAATATAAGTAATGTACCAATAATGAATATATAATAAATTTCTCATTGTATAATTAAAAATGTAAATGAAATACTTAATTAAATATTAAATAAATAAAATCATGACTGTATCTTAAATTAAAAATAATCCAAGTTTAAATGAAAACATAATACATTTAATTTAAAAATAATATAAAGTATAAATTTTCTAGCATTAGATACGAATAACCAACTTCAAGAAATTTAAAGAGAATAGCACCCAAAAAAAAATTATTTATTCGAATTGAATAAAATAATAGTTTAAAAAAAAAAAAATTTCAGACTGTATTCTCGAAAGACCTTAATTTTTATTTTTATTTTAAAAATATATGCATATATTATTATTATTTGGATACAAAGAGAAACAAACTAAGACAATTAAAAAATAATAATCAGACATGAAACCTGAATAAGAAAACACCAATGATGTTCTCACGAAAAATGTGTATTTATTATTTACCCACACATAAATAAAACTAAATCTAAACTTTAAATGTAAATAATGTCGTTTGCATTAATACATGTGCGTGTACACGCACGACGACACGTATTAACACGTGTCACGATCATCGACGTAAATGCATTTTAAATCAATTTCAACGTATTAAAACTAAAGGGTATTTGATGATTCATCAATATAATAAAACACCAATAATAAAATTGATGAAATTATAATAATTACATTTGCACTGTTTAATTTGTAAGTAAATAATTTATTATACAATCTCATGAAACACATCATTGCAAGTACGTGGTAAAAACAAATTATTTGTTGGTTAAAAAGTTAGTACTTTTACTTTTTACTGTACATTCACTGTCATAAAAAAATGGTTTCTTGCAGAGCAAAATACGAAAGCAGTCACCAACTTTGACTCACTTGTACACACGGCTTCCAGAAGCTTTCTTAGTATCTTATCATCACAGTCAGCTTAATCAAGTAATTGAATTGTGTGTGTGTGTGTGTGTGTATATACACACATGTATATATATATATATGTGTGTGTGTGTGTGTAAGTAGTTAATGCAGATTTCTCTACGTAGAAAAGACAAAAATTAAGTATGGATATACATAAACATAAGTAACTAAAGTCAAGAAACAAACAAAAAAACTGAAAGAATTATTAGGTGTTGGGGATGAGTCAACACAATATGAATATGAATACTCCACTTTAAGTTTTAATTTTTTACTCTTTTGATTTAAATTTAATATAAATCAGTCATGTTTTATAAAATATATGAACTTTATATATACTTGTGAAATACATAATAATTATTTTTGTTCATACGTATTAAACTAGATTATTCGTAGTATAAGATAGAACAATGAACCAATTTAAAAGTCTATGTATGGAAAAAATTAATTTTACTTCTCTGAGTAGCCAATATAGACTGGGTTAGGTCATAGCAGAAAAGTTATAAGTACATTTTTATATTTTATAGGTGAAGTATTTTGTTACTTTGATAGTATTTATCATATAATTTTACAATCTGTTTTTTTTTTTTTTTGTTTATGTATAAAAAAATAAAAATAAGAAGATCAGAATTTTGGGTATTTACTTAATTTAGTTAGATATACGTGTTTTTTTTTATAGTATTTAACATTCTTTATTTTGGAGTATATGATACTTAGGCTATCGGAAGAAAAAATATAAGAAAAATTACCAACTTGTCTCTTAACTCAACTTTTTAAGTTGCTTAGTTACTAAAACTGTTATTTCGGGGAAGAATAATGAATTATTAGTCTGAATGATTTGGAAGACATAATTGAATATGTATTGTTAGGTTCCGTTTGTACATTTGGTAGAATTTGACGTATTTTAACTAGATATTTTGCATGAACTCATTGTATGTTTTTTAGAATTTTTTTTTTGTGATTTAAATAATTTTTTCAGCTGATAAACACTAACGATAATATAAACAGAATATAAGTTTTATCACAACAAAATATCCTATATTTAAAAATATTAGTTGATAAATGAATGAATTATCATCAAAATTTTGACCTTTAATGATTAGTTTAAATACTGATATTCTTACTTGAAGTTATATGAGTAAGTTTCACTACTATTTTTCAATATAAAAATAATAAGTTTCGGTACTATTTTTTTTCGACTAGTTTAATTTTTGTTAACTTTTTTTTTTAAAAAAAAGATAATACTAATAAAGAGAGTAAATAAAGGGTTAAATTTTTCCAAACCCTTATTTTCTATCCTCTCCAAAACCTAATTACACTAAAGAAAAGAAAAGAAAAAAAAAAAAAAAAAAAACAAAGTAATCTTCTACTCCCTCTTACCCATTTCTCAACATCCAAACATGCCCTTAATAAAAATAACTTGTATAAAAGACACATCTACTCGTTGCCGAGTGGATTAGTAATTTGATCATAATACGCTTGAATTTTTCTGCCATTCAGCACCTGCACCGGCCTCGCATTCTTCTTATACGGTTTATCCAGAGGAGCTCTCAACATCTCTACCTGTGAATTCGATATGGTTCTCACCTGTACGTATACAATTTTTTTTGTAAATTATAACTATAGTATAAAATTAAAAATATAATAAAAATTAAACCCCAAATGCAAACTTTATATTATATATGTTACCCTGGCAAGGACGGTCCAGACGACGTACTCGGTGCACGGAGGAGTTGTGAGGGAGCCAAGATATCTATAATATTTTCGTGGTTTAATTTTAATCAATTTGCTGTCGAATTTCCCAAGTGGAATTTCGGCTCTTTCCTCTTTCTTGCACTTGTCGTCATCTGCGAGTTCTTCCAACTTGTTTTTCAGCTGCAATATTCAATATATATAAAATATAATATATTTTAGAAAAATAAAAAATATTTTCAAGTAATTACAAAATACTTTTATAAAATAAAATAAAATATTTTGTGTAATGTGAATTAAGAAGTCAAATAAATCATACCGCAGAAACGAGTGGGTCGTCTCTGCCCAACTGATAAAGAATTGCCACGACCGCTATGCCATCGTCGTATGCCTGGTGGACTAAGTGGAGCTCGGCATCGTATCTGCATTTTTTTTTTTTGTAATTTAATAGTATAAATTTCTAAATTGTAAATAAATTATATCATAGATTGTAAATTTTATAATTATTTTTAAATATTAATATCTAATAATTAAAATACACCCGTCAATTAGTTTAATCTTTTTTTTTATTTTTTATTTTTTTAAAAAAGTTCTGGAAATTTTTGAAAATTCTGGATGGAGGGTTCCCGAATTTTCTTGTACATATGGGCCCAAGCCCATAAAAAGAAATCACACACCAAAATTTAGGCCCAAGCCCACACCCAAGCCCATAAAAAGAAACCCGTAGCACAAAATTTAAGCCCAAGCCCAAACCCAAGCCCAAACCATAAAAAGAAAAACCTAGCCCAAAATTTAGGCCAAAGCCCAAACCCAAGCCCACGACCAAGCCCAAGCCCATAAAAGAAAACCATAGCCCAAAATTTAGGCCCAAGGCCGAGCCCATAATTCGAAACAATGTGTTTTTAAAAAAATTAAATTTTATATATATATATAAAAAAAAAGGTTATCTTGGAAGAGAGAAAACTCACCGGACTCCATTGATTTGGTGTTCTGAAGGAGTGTGCCAGTGCATTTGCTTCAAGGTGTAGATTCTGCCGTCTATCACAAGTTCCCCAAAGTCCTCTTCAAATAACACCTGTGTATATATATATATATATATATATACATATATAATTTAATTTTCATGTATTTAATGTTTGATAATTTTAATTTAGCACTTAATTAATTTCAAATGAGTTTCCAATACAAATTAATTAACAATTAAATCCGGACAGAAACTTCACTGCCATTTCAGTCACAAACGGGTGTCAACCGTTAAAAAACTCTCTGTATATTTTGTCATATTTATTATTTTTTTGTTTAATTTTTTTAATATCTGATTAAGAAAATTAATTAATTAGCATGACACAGAGATCCAGCAAGTTATAACCTCACACGTGAATCTGGTATGACCATTAATATATAATTATAATTTTAGGAAGAGATCAGGTAGCTAATTAATTAGCATTACTTAAATAAATAATTATTAAAAAAATTGTGCAGCGGTTGTGTAAAATGAAGAAAAATATTTATAAATTTATATTTTTATTAAAATAATAATTAATTAATAAATTCAATAACTAATAATATAATGACAGTAAATTACCCCAACACTGTAAATATGGTTAACGAGAGTGGCGTTTGCGGAGGTGTATTTTCTGATCAGAGAGCCTAATGTCTCGTTCAAAACGGCATCGTTTTTGTCAATATCGATGGGAGACTGCATTTTCCCAGATAAGCACGTTTCGTAGTGTTGGTGTAGATTTCCCCATTTATTAGAACCCAGATTGCTTCCATAATTGTACTCAATTTCCATCTCTGTAAAGTCATAATATTATTTTGTTAATTACAATAATCCATCAACTAAAAATAAAAATCACAATATTAATCCTCTGTTTGGTAGATAATATACATACTTTTATTTATTTATTCTTTTAAAAAATATATATATACATATATTGTATGTGGTGTGGCAGTATTTCAAGTACTATAAATGAAAATAATTTTGTAAAATTAAAAAAAATATATATTTTCTTAAAAATTCTTTAAAATTCATCCTATTTTTTATAATTATATCTTTTAACCTAACCCTATCTTAAATTTTGATTTAGTTTACAATCAAAGATCTTATTTGAAGGGTGTCAGTGTATTTTACGATTGATTGATTAATATATGTATATCACTTAATTAAAGAACAAAGAACTTCAAACTGATCAGAAGGAAAAAAAAAGCATTACAACATGAAATATTAAACAAGAAAATTAAAGAAGAGAGATGAGATATATAATTTTGTATAATTACATACCCTCCTCAGGACCAGGATGAGCAGAAGCAAGACCAATCAAAACTGCAGCAAGAACGATAAGGAGAACCAACAAGGAGAATCTACAGCCATCCATGGCGACGTAGATGATGTATATGTAACACTACTGTATGTATAGTTCAAATCCTAACCTATCTTCCTACTACCTGCTTCTAAATTTCATCTTTGTAGACTACCAATAACGAGCAAGGCAATTATGCTGATTCATACATATATATATATATATATATATATATGGTGTTTGGGTGTACGTATATGCGTCTAAATAAATCTCAGGTGCAGGGTGGAATGAAGTATTTTGGAACTTGAGGATATATGTGGCTACACTTGCTAAACATGGATCTATACTCAGCTATATATAGATTATAGAATGGTGTTTGTGTCAAATTTAGTGTGAGTTCTCAACTTACTTTAGTTACTATTACCCTGTGTTTTTCTTAAGTTAACTAGTATTTATATATATATATATATGTTTGTGTGTATATATATATATATATATACTATTTTAGTTAATTGATGTTATGTATTACTAGATATTATTTGTATGTAAAATCTGTTGTCACTTAACTAAATAGTTGATACATATTTTTTTTATATAAAAGATTGTAGATTCAAGTCAGGTTGTATATATAAAAATTATTCACGTTGTATTATAATTGATATATATAATATCTAATTAATGAATGCATACATTATCTACTAAAACAATTATACCTAATATTTATTTATATAATATAATAATTTTATATAATCAGCGTATCTCACAGATATTTAAATAGTACGAGATATACTATATAACAACATAATTTAAGTAAGTAATACATATAACTACATGAAATATACTATTATATTACTTTTATAACTAAAATTTACATGTAGCATTGTTCTGAAAAAAATAAATTTGACATTTTTAATTTCATATTCCCCAAGAGGAGAAAGGACAAGAAGAGAAGGGTATGTGATCCACTTAGGGTGTGGAAGAAAAGGCTTTGGATCTCCATCTCCATCTCCATCTCCATCTCCATTTTAGACACAGGCAAAAAGTTGGATATTCAAATAATTCAAAGTTGTGGGCCAAAAATTAGAAGACATTCCCACCAATCCATTCTTACTGATCATCCAAACAGTCCCTCCATCTTCTTCAACTTTATTATTTAAAACCAACTACCACCTTCCCCAGCAAATAAAATCCAACCCATCAATATATATATATACACACACACACACATATATGTATATGTGTAGTGTTTGCCTTGATTTAAAAGAAAGAAATTGGTAAATTTTCAGGAATTTAAGCTGTACTTTACATTTGTTAAGTTACAAAATTACAAAATTTCATTTTAAAAGATATTTAAAATACATCATTTTAATTCTAATTTAAATGGTTTTATGATTCAAGTTATATAATTTTCGCTTTTCGCTAATGAATTTACAATATATTCTCAAATAAATTTTACAAGTAACATTCGTCATTTTCAAATATAGACTTAAAAAATTTAGAAATTTATGTCAACTAAAGAAAAAAGAGTAGTGAGTTATAATTTTGAACGATGTGATATTCTTTATTATAGTTCAGATTTTGTAATTTTTAGTGAAAATTTAATGTGTATAGTTGTCATTCTAAATAAATTTATTATTTCTGAAAAAACCAACTAAATAAATACATATAATCTGTTGACCCAACTGCAGATAAGATAAAAAGTATGGATTCAAATTCCAGAAAGCTTCAATTCTTAGCTGCATGTGAATGTTTGTTTGCTGTCAAAACTTTGGGAATCTCTAGGTTGCAGCAGCTCACACTAAGAAAGAGTACAAACCCTAGCAAAAAGGAGGAAAAGGAACATCCACTGCTTTCACTCAACAGAGACATTAGAATGGACAAAAACCCATAAAACTCACTACTTGATCATTAGTTTAAGACATGGCATGTGCAAGAAGAAGGCCAGGCAGAACTAAAAAATTATAATTTGTAGTAAGTCCTGATTTATATTATTGGTTGGTAATTCACACCTCTTTACAAAAGTGTCAATATAAGTAAGACTGTGGATCTTGTGTGTATCCTCATTAAGAAAGTGTGGTTTATCAGTTATTTTATTTATCCCCTCTTATGTTAATTCTGGTTGGATCATTTCCAATGAATTTAAACGGTAGAACCACGAAATCGGAACCAAAGACGAACCTTTAGGATTTGGAAGGGGCAGAGAATGACATAATGAAGTAAGTGAAGGAAATAGACACTGGAAGTGTTGGAATCTGATTCCACATCCAAATCATAAGGCACTACGAGAAGCTCACACAAGATTATGAGGCTGTGTGTTCAGATGGCTAGACACGTGAAGCTTTTATCTGCCATAGAAAATGCCTAGAGCAGAAAAGCTACCACTTGATGGTTATGTCTCTTTTCATCTCAACTTCAAAACTGAGACTAGACAATTCTTCACTAAGGTTGAAGAGATCAAATTGAATATATACGAGAGCGCCCACATGAGAGTGCCAGGACCACAAGCATACATTTCAGCTTCTTAAAAGCACATTCTTCCATCAAAAGAACAAGAAGTTAATTTCATAATCAAACTAAGTGCATCAATCTGGAATTGTGTAATCCATACATGGATATGGAGAGGCGACATGAGAATGTATCTGCATTGTAGATTCTATTACGAACGTGCAACTCTGAAATAACTCGGCTATCTGTGTTAACATGCTCTCACTTAGAAGCAGGATAAACCAGTTAATGTTCTGAAGGCAAGTCAAGGAACGAGCACAAACAAATTATTAGTGGGTTTTGCATAAGGGATCTGGGAAACCATGATAATAAGCAACAAACAGGGGAAACAACAGGAAATAGTGGAAGATTTCATGATTAGAAAATAAGATTTCTACTTTGATAGTATGTTAAATATTGCTCACGGAGCATCCAGAAAGGTCAGCACTAATATAATGGTTCAAAACATAGTTCTAGGTGCATAAGATCTCTATCTAGTGAATGGACTCAAGGCCAGCTTGATTTTCGCTTCTAAGGATCACCTACACAGATTGATCGATCGACCATTTAAATCGTAAAAAACATGAAGAAAGTTGCAGTTCGTTAGGACTGAAACTTGTCAGGTACCTACTGCCTAGAAAACTGCTTCAACAATAGGTTCTTAGTGAGAATTTCTAAGTCTAAAAGAAAATGCTCTACTCCATAATCCCACTAAACAAACAAATCTGCTTCCCTGGTGGATCAGAGCTGTAAGTTTCCATCATTGTAGTTCACAAACTCACTTATTGGAAGGAATAATCATGGAAAATATTCTTAAGGAGGAGAGCTAAATTTCTAAAGAAATCTGTCACACACACACACACACACACACAAAATAGAGATTTTGGGGCCATTTAAGGGTTATTCTCATCAAAATGTCTTCCTACTCAAAATAAAAGCTGAAAATTCATTTTTTGCTTCCTAATGTCTGTTTTCCTTTTTGCAAAGACTAATTTCCATTGTTCATAAAAAATATTTCATCAGCAACCTTATGCATGACCCAATTTAAAAAGTATATATAAGTTTATCATGATATATATGCAGAACTTTATATAATTCTCTAGAGGCAGTTGGCTAATATTGGTAGTACCATATATTAGAAATTTACATTCTCAGTTCATCACTTCAAAATGTTTAACAGAAGCAAAAAGATCTGTTCTTAGTACATGATAAAATATGCAACACAGAAAGTGCTTTTATTGAGTGGCAATTGTTGAGTCAACCAGTAAAAGAAAAAAGACATACAAACATTTACAGACTCCAAGTAAAACTCATGGAAAACTAAAAGAAATTAAGTGAGAGGGGAAGAACACCAATCTAGGAAGAACAAATACACATAACTTACGAGAAGAACTTGAAACTTGGGTTTGAGCTGAAGCATGGCCTCCCAAGCAACAAAGTAGCTCAGGCCCTGCCTCCCAGCTTGATGTCAATTGGAGCACTGGATTTTATCATGGGCCTTTGTAGCAAACTCTTTACTAGTTTTTATTAACAATGACTTACACATGTCTCTCATTATTTTTTTGATAATGCCTAAAAATAACATCATTCACTTTTGATTTATTAAACTTGATAGTATACTATTTAATCCGAACTAATTTCTATATTTTATTGCAGGGTAAGAAGCAAAGTCAGAGAGAAAGAAAAAATGACGTAGAAAAGAGGAAGAGTTTGTGAAACGAGTCATCAGCCTAGAAACGAGCCTTGAGTAAGGTTTGGGCCCTGTTCCAGACAACTTAGCCTTGAGCAAGGCTAAGAGTTGCGCGCAACAGTCAATTTAAAAAGAAAAAGGGCGCGCACTTAAAATAAAAAACATATCTTATTTGGGCTAGGATTTGTGAACAGAAAATCATGGGAACCAATCTGAAAAGTTAGGGATGTGCCAAGAATCAATGAAAAATTACAAATTAAGAAAAAAAAGAAGAAAACCCTAGCTCTTTTTCTATAAAGGGAGCGGCTGCCAAGCTGGTGGGGCATTTTCTCTTCGGCTGGACGCTACTCAAGGCAGATTACCCTGCTGCTGCACTTCTTCTTCTTCATAGCTCTTCTCTCTTTCAACTTCAAAGAACTTTTTTTTATTGAAAAGCCTACCATGAGCGGCTAACTCACTTTCTTGTTCTAGTTGAGATTTGATAAACTGTAGCGATATATCTATGATATTGAATTTGTTCAATATATATTCTTATACATATTTGTGGTCTCAAATTCATTTGAATAGAGTCAGTAAACAGTTAGCCGAATCTTTTAAATTCATAATTGTTTGAGTGGTTCCGACACTAAAACGCAATCAGTACCGCATTAAAGAGGTAAATAATCTTGTTGACCGGTTCACCCGGATGAATCCGACAACTTGAATCAAATCATTCTAACTCTCCAGGCGATTGATAAGTTAAATTCTGTGTACATTCCAAAAACTACTTGATAATAGAGAACCAACTAACAAACGTTTCTTGGGTGGTTTAGAAATAAGGAATGATCGATTGTTTTCTGACAATTATAATTGATTTATTATATTTTAGATAAAACAAATATTTACATTTATGACTAATTATGTTACTGGAGATAACTATTTCATCAATTAAAAATTCTTTTTATAATTGTTTTAGTTCTAATTTGCAGTCAAAAATTTATTTAATATTATTTTACTCATTCTTTATTTCATATTTTGCGTATTGAATTATATAAATCTCTCTATTATTTATTTTTTATTTATTAATTAAGAAAAAAAATTAATTTTTAATTCTCTATAAATTCGACAATTCTTACTATTATTATAATATTATTTTATTAATTAATTAAAAAAATTATTTTTAATATATTCCTCGTATCATTACTTTTTCTTTTACAATAAAATGAAGTGGTGGTAACTATACTAAAAGGAAAAATACAATCGGCAACATGTTGAAGAACCTCTTCATCTTATTATCAGAAGGGATACATTGGACACATCTATTAGAGTACTCAATATTCTCAAGAGGATAAATATTTTCCTACAAGCGAAAATAGAAGAATTTAGATACCTATATATATATACACAGAAGAACCCAAAAAAAACCCAAAGTACTTTATTCACATCTCTGGTTATTTACACAGCATAAGTTGCTTTTAAATATTCTATAATTTCTGCACTTTCAAACATTTGGATCCCAGTATTTGGATCTTCTAAATATGGAACCTGTCAACCAGAATTCTCGACCATTAATTTCGATATTCTTCTTACAAGTCAACAGCATGTAAATTCATAGGAGAAAAAAATCGAAATACCTGAAAATGTCCAGCTTTCTGGTACAATATCTGCCGTTTTGGGCTTCCACGAGCACAGCTAGTGAAAGTAGAGAGAAATTATTAGAAAGTAGTCTTGGCAACAGATGCATGCTAAGATGTTACATGCACAAAGACAAACACATAAAACCCACAAATCAATAAGCTGCCAGAAATAATTGATGGAGATATTTCGATCAAAACTGATACTGAACTTCCCATCTTAATGAATACAACTGGTGATATTCTCTTTGAAAAATAATACTGCAGTTTCTGTGTTAGTGAATCCAATCAGATCTGATTCGCTGAAAAAAGAAATTTTCAGCTTGATGGGATGTGAAGAGTTGTAGGTACACGTTGCTAAAAGAATATATTAAGTTTGATATTTCTTTAAAAAAAAAAACATTGGCATCTTTGATATGGCCAAAGCTTAGGCTGAAATCAAGTGAGAGATTGTCTCGTCAAAATTGTCTTTGAAATCAGTTGGCTCTCTTCGGGCAGGGTTAGATGGGTGGGGGAGGTCAGGAGACTCCCTCAATTCTAGCTGATATAAGATTAAATAACTTTTTCTATACCAATATAGGTTCCCAATTTAGGAAGTCTGTTAAGCCAATAAACTTCCTCTTTCCCCAGATATAGAGTCCACAGGCAGGCACTTTAACAGACAAACTTTCACAATAAGTGTCAATTATGAGGGTTGAGTTTGGGTTGCACAAATGTAACTCATTGTTTATTGGAATTTATCCCTGAAAGATTTCCCAGACTTTGATTGATGTTGGATTTGTTAAATAATAAAATTAAACTAATTTTTCTAACAAGTAAAGTGGAAAGGACATGGTTCAATATATTATTTATAGATTTTTAACACCTCCCGCGTGCAAACCTATTAGGCTGAAGTATAGATCATTTATAGAGACATTCTGACTCGTGCTGAAATTTATAAACAGAAAAGGGAACAGCTGCCAGAATTTGAAAATTATATCTTTGGTTTTGTTGCCATGTTCAATAATAGAAATATACTTATCTTTCCGAGTTTTTAAACACATGAAAAATGACACAAGCTGGTATTTATAGATTAACAGGATTAAGTAGCCTATGGTAAACTAAGAAATTTACCTTTCCCTTTAGAACATGCTAGTTACATTGATAACAATTTTTAGCAGCCCTTTGAGAAGAAGGAAAGTGCAAACCAAAGTCGAGGTAAAGAATGGTGAGCAGATGTAAAAATCAGTTGACAATAAGTTTGCAAATTCAATCAAGACGAAAATCTCCATGATAAGGGAGGTAAGCAAACAGAGAATGCTACTTAAAAGGACAGTACCTCCGAACAATATGTGGCAACTCCAACTCTACAAGTACTTCACGAGCTACTTTGCAGAATGGTGAACCCTGAGGCAGAAAATAGAAAGATGTTTATCACAGACGAAAATACTGATACTTTATCAAGACAATCTAGGCATAGAATAGATAACAAGAGTTTTACAGTTTACCACAGGCAACTGAAAGATTAATTATGCATTCAAGTTTAACTTATATTACTGCCAAGTGCTAACCTCATATGCCCATACTTCTAGTGGCTTTGGTGGCAATTTTGATGGAGTGTAAGAAGACCCCTGCATAAAGACAACATGGTAGGAGCAAATTCAATTGTCAATATTTGTTCCCCTGATGTAAATTATGATCATAAGATGTATTTATATTCTTCTGTGAGAGTAATAGTTGAACAAACAAAAATTCCAATTGCCTACGAACAGTCTATGGATATTTAGTGAGCTCTTTCCTGAACAGCAGAACCAAATAAGAAGTTCAAAAGTCATCTCACCCTCCCCACGCGACCTATCATAGCGAAGCCTTCAGTCAAAGTCTACAGTATAAGTCAAGAAGAAAGACCACATCAAACAAAAATTTCATAGTGTTTACAGAGTTTAAGGAATTATTAGCCAGAGTCGAAAACTAACCGTTAATAGACCAAGTGACAGCATGAAAGGAACATTTCCATCACCTAGACAATAGGAACAAAATGGAGCAGAAGTTTAGGATGTTGTAGCATATATTGTAGAGGCAGCTAATTAAAAGAAAGCCAAAAGGAAAATTTAAACATTAAAACGTTGAGATCTCTCAAGGAAGAGAGGTAATTGTCAGGTAAATAAATAGAAAGCACCAAGCATTATCTATAAAGACATTAACAAGCAATTCACTTGAACAGCAAAACAATTAAGCAACAGAAATTCTAAATTTTAAGAAGAAAGCAGAAGTAAATAACAAAAATTAGATTTTAAAATATAATGTTCCCATGGGAGAGGAACTAATCATGTGCATGGGAGTAAACAGTACAAAGTATGTCAATGTAACAGCACCAACCGTATTTCCCAACCAGATACTTGATTATTTCATCTGATTCATACATTGCAACTCCTGTGTTTGGATCAACCTGCAACCCAGTGACCAATTTGTAAAACTTCGATTCCATAAAAAGCCATTCCTCATGCATGTTGAGTTAAAGATTTGGTGTCGCATATAGAACTAGATATTCTAGAAAATAAAATAACAAGGGGACATAGCCAATCATGCAGTAACTACTCATTAAGCAGCAATATCTGGTACATTATCAAATTCGAAAGCTAAGACAAGTGACTTTAGATGTTCCCATAACATCAGAACTGGAGATTATACTCTTTTTCCTTTGATGTACAGAAAGAAAAGAGTAAAAACCCCAATTCTTTTTATTGTATGGATATAAGCAGGAAAACAGTTAAAAGGAGGGCATCTAACCATGTATGGGAACTGCTGTTTTCCACCCAACTGAGCAACCTTTGGACGAAAATTTGGACCATTTCTTGGGCATGGATAGAACAAAACATCAAGGTCCAACACAGAAACAATTTCCCTTACCTGCATCCTTAACACACAAGTCTACAGCATAAGAATATATGAAAAATATAACTCAGCTAGTGAGGAAATATACCACCTATGCTGATTGTGACCAATCAAGTCAAAAGTTCAAGTTAATAAAAAAAAAGTATTATCTATTATCTTATACTGATAGGACTCAGGGTCTGTCATCCTTATGGACCTTGGGCAACACACCTAGAACATCTAACCAAAACTCAGGGGCAGCAGAGGCCTTTTTGGATGAAGACTGATATCATCATCCTTGGCCACACTCAATTGTCTGCTTTGATCACATTTCAAGTCAACATCACATCCTAGAGCTGTACTAGGATTTGTACATCCATATCAACAAGACACTGAATATATTTGGTGTTAGGTGCTGTTTCCAATAAGATTTGCTGCATATTATACTCTTCAAAAGTATATGCAATGAAGATGTAAAATACAGATATGTTACCTTCCGACAGAATGGACAGCTGAAGTTTGAATGTGGTCCATGATAACCAATATGTAGAAAAAAGCAATAGATAGAGTTAACTCTTCTTCATCAAATGAGCATATGGAAAGCTATAGAGAATAAAAGAAGAAGAAAAAAGTGAAGCTACATAACAGTTAAAACTGAAATACTGTAATTTGCATAAAGTAAAATTTATGGCAGATAGAGTACCTTTCAAATTCATATATTTCAATAGGTTTCTCGGGGCGAGGGCCTATCCTTGAGGTCTCTTTTACAGTAAAACCTGTCATACATGTTCATCAAGAATGGCATGTAAGACACTTTCCAAAATTGTGAGTCAAATACATCTCTTTGGAGTTAAGAAGATAAACAGAGCATTAATGTGTAGCATATTCCACTTGTTCAACTGGGTCCTACAGTTCTGCCAGCCATCAAAATCTAGGACGAGACAAGTTACACTGCAGAATCAAGTTTGATTGCTACCTGCAAATTCCAAAGCATACTGGCCAGGTGGAATCTCATCCTTTGACACAAGAGATGCAGAATACCTGCCAATCAATACAATAAAAATTAAATGTTACTTAGAAACCTTATGAATGTCTATTATCTAATTTTCATATTGTCTAACTTCTACTTCCTCATGATAATTCTTGTACAAATACAAATGGCGTCTGCTGCTTTTGCAATATGTCAATAAATGTCCGACATCTCATCTCAAATTTGTCCATATTAAGGTTGATTGTGATCCACTCCCACGTGGTTTTTCTCCCTGTAGATTATTAGGTTTAACAAATCTGTTGCTTAACCTGAATATAACTATACTATATGAACAGTCTCCCATTTATATCTAAAATTAGTGCCAATTAAATTTGGTGGATTTCAATTTTGTCATCAGTAACCACTCGGTTTTGCTTTTGTTATTTTCTATGCAATGGAAGTTGGATTACAGAACTTTTTTTTTTTTTTTTTGAAATAAGGATTTACAGAATCTAATGTTGACTCATAATTTTCTATCTATTTGTGCATTTTATGAGATTCATCATATACTAGGCATCTATTATTAAGAGTGTAAAGACAGCACACCAACTCTGATCTGTTTTTTATTTCAGTTAGTCCATCTCTGTTCCAATTTTTGATCGCACCCAATCTTCCGTGCAGGCCCTTGTTTTACCTGGTAGGTTCCATATTGTAACATTCACCACTTAGAAGAGAGCAACACGATCTTATGCCAGTATGTTACTTGTATTGATTTCTACAACAATGTCTATAAACCAGACTGATATAATTATTGAGCCAAAACTTTTTAATCCAGTTTGACAGTAATCTTCTCCTTCACTCAAAGGCTTATTTCCCATACACATTTTGCTCTACTTGTGAATATGCTACTAATCAGGAAAAGGCCTCCCTCCCTCTTAAGGATTTGAAGGAGGTCCGTTTTCTATAGTTCATTCTCCATTCAATGGGGAAATCTTTTATTACATATATAGAACGGGACACTTCTTAGTGATACAAGGATATTCTCATATAAAACAAACCTTTCTTACCTCTCGATTTCAGAAACTTGAACCCCCATATTGAAGGTTTCTATTCCACCTTAAAGACCCCCCCAGCAGGTAAATCAAAGAAAAGAGGCCCGAGGGTAAGCGCTCTATTATCCATCTTCCGAAGGGATATATTAGGGACATGGTAGATAGCAAGCATTATATCAATAAGCCAGTACAGGAGATTTGCATCTATTATCCTGGGAGATAGATTCCTTGTAGCTAGACAATAACGGGGTGATTTCATATTTTAGTAAACGCAACTTTTAAGCTCAAAAGAAATCATTTTCATATAAGCCTATGGTTTGAGAAGTTCTCAACAGCACAGAGTAAATACATAATAAAGCCTAATCCTTGTAACACATTTGGTGTCCTCTTTGTTCAGTTTCCACTCAATTTCCACCTTATTCCTTTAACCTAAGACAACCTAAAGCTACTTATACATTTTCGTTCTTTTGCTTCACTATTTCCAATCAATTTCTACCTTATTCCTTTATCTGATTGCTAGACTAATCTTGATTTAGAATATTAGAAATCTACCCAAGGAACTTAAGGTAAAAATGGAGGTAGTTCAAATATGAAAATTATGATAACCTTCTATCTATTCCTCTGGTAACAACGTGAAGGAATAAGCTAAGAATAAATGGTAATTTACCAAAAAGGAAATCAACTACTATAACAATAGTGAGTATCTAGTTGATTTTGTGCACAATTTTAGTACAGTATTTTTTTACCTAGTCAGTAGTTGTTCTTCAGCGGCTAGGAATGATAATATTATGCTAATGTGAATATACTCCACCCAAATTCTGTTTTTTGACTAAAATCATACAACTTAATGGTGATACCAATGTCCTACTCCATTTTAGTCCATTCGTGGTCTAATCTTTAATCCACTTTAAACTCAAAAGAAATGAAATTACTAAATTGGCAATCAAACTCAGTTAAGATCAAATTCGAGCTAGCAAACCAAACCTAAAAGAAATATTAAGGCAAAATCCTGCAATAAACAAATTAAACTTGCCACCATATAAAACCTAGTTTTGAATAACCAAATCACACCAATGAAGCCGAACCAAATCATTTGTTTAACCGCATATAATAAATGCCTAACTTAGCGACACAAATTCTGCTTCCATTCTCTAGAATGCAATGAAGAATTTCATGCCCAATATAGTTAAAAGTATATATAACCAAGAGAAGCTAACCCAGTAGAAAAGAGTAATTACTAGCATCGGCAGTTTCTCCCATTTTTCCCTATTAGTTTCGCAGTAACCAAACAAATACAACAAAAAACCCATCAAGAAAAGAGGAAAGCTAAAGAGTAATTTCAATACCCAGAAACAAAAACGCCAGTCCCCAACCGGAAAATCAAGGAAAGAGAAGCACCAACGATGTCCAAAACCTTGTCGGGTCTGACCGCGAAACGCTTCGGCTGCGGTGGCTTGAAGTTGGGCGGAGCAGTGAATGCTGGGTTGGAATCCTCCTTGGTGGAGGTGGAGACAGGACCCACGGGGGTTTTCGAGTACTCTGAGGTGACCTTGACAGGAAGGCGAGTTTTCAGCGGCTTACGAAGTGAAAATTGCCGGAAAACAGTGGGTTGGGGGATGGTGTTTAGGATTCCGACCATGGTTTCCCGGTTAAGAGTTTTTTTGGGCTGCAGAGCTGAGACAGTGACTGTGAGCAATCAGACAGGTAATCCGGGGTACGACGCGAAGTGTCTGGGTTTGGCATGAAATATGGAGTGGTGAGTAATCAGACAGGTAACAGGACCTTTCATTGTTGAGCTTCATATATCTTCGTTTTTATTAAGTTTTGATTGGTCTACAATAATTTTCTTTTGGGTATTTCTGAAAGAAAACGTGGATTTTTAGTCAAATCAAAATGCATTGAAAAAAAAAAAAACACTCTACTTTTGAAACGACAATTATAGAAGAATAATTCAAAGTATATTCATCCTTTTAAAATTAGTCGAGATATATATATATATATATATATTGGGCTGAACTTTAAATATCAACAATGAAACCCAACCAAAAAATTAAAGTGCATTTTCTCTGTAAATCAGAACTCTTCCAAGATATTGCGTGCTATATAACCCATTAGAAATTAGGCCAGTAATAGAACCAATAGATTTATGTATACAAGTCTTCAACCGCCCCACATGAAATTCGACCAAATCAACTTATCCAAGCTTTGCCATTCTCAGATGGTAACAACTTGAGATGCGCACAAAGAGTATCATCCAAAAAAGAAGATCCTTCGGCTCAAAACAATGTGTTTTCATTTGAAGGAGAAACCATAGATTTTTCCCCGGGGAAATCAGAATCACATTAGACTACTTAACAATAACTTATTAACATATATAGTCAAAAGAATAAAATATTTATACGAGTATATAAAATTAATGATAATTTACTCAATTGAAGTTCCACACTTCATATATTTTATTCTTAATTTTTTTATTTTTGGGTTACAAATTGGTTTTAGAAATTCTTCATTAATTTAAATGTTCTAATTTCATTTTCATTCCACAGGTTGAATAATTGCACAATTTAAGTGTGCACGTTAGGAGTTTTCTCTCCTTCCCGGCACTTCGTTTTCTCTTAAAACCTAGTTTCAAACAAAGAGCGAAGTGTAATCAAATAACTCCTCTATTTTATAACACGTGAGAAAATATGTTGAAGTTGTCCAATCAACGTTTGGTTGAAGTTGGGAATCTTATAGTAACAAAACGCTGTCCTTTCCACATTACACGTTGCCATAAAAATATTTGAGATCTTTGGCACCATAACGTTTGATGAAAGCAGAAAGAGTAATAAGAGAAGAAGAAGAAGAGGAGCTGCGGTTGTTGTGTGGTGAGGGAAGTTTCTACTCTTTTTTTTTTTTTGAGCGAAGATCATGAAGTGCTTTTTAAGATTTAATTATTCTTTTTTATTTTTATATTTTTGGATAATCACACCTCTAGCTAAATGTCTTTTTTTTTTTTTTTTTAATTGATACAATGTTATAGTTAAAAATAAATGTTACCCATTAAGATAAAAATAGGAAACTTAAGGGCACTTTAAAGATTTTATTCCAAAAATTTATATATCATACCCAAATCAAAGTCAAGAAACTCAAAAGCCAATGAGCAGAATTTTACCGACGGTGCCGACCATCCAATGGGAAGCAAATGCGCGAGCCCGTGCGCCATGTCAGCGGAAATGGTCCCGCCGCCCTCTTGCTCTGAAGAAATCTACAAAACTAGAAAACAAGAAGTGAGTTTTTTAAGGAGTAAAATCAGAGTTGCCTTTGTGTTGGAAAAGAAAAGGTTCGAAGGACTTCCAAGGGAAGACAAGAATGAGAAAGGAATTTTGGGATTTGAATTTTTTTTTTTTTTTATAATAATAAAAAAGAGTTAGGTTTTGTTTTCCATTAACTCGTCAATTTCAATAGTGGAAGGTTTAGAAAGTGCACAAAAGCATACTACAGTTTTTGTAGGTTAGTCCCATCTCATGATGTATCCCTATAAATATATTTATTTCTTTGGAAAAAAATTCTTCAATAGTGACCCAGACTGTTGCATGCTTTGAGAGGAAGACATTGACATGCAATTTTTTTGTTGGAAAAAAAGTGGAAGATGTGGTTTAATATCTTCTAAACAAAGATTAATATATACATTAATTATATTATAATTTTAAAATATAATATAATATTTTAATAAAAATACACAAAAATGTATAATTTAATTCGAATTTATAACTTTTATATATATAAAAAAAATTTATCTATTTAGTTAAACAAAACTAACTATTTAATTAAAGGATACCACAGAATAATGTGTTGAAAAAAAAACCCTAAATTAAATTAAAAATATATAAATATAATTGAAAATAGAATAATTTATAAACACAATTTACTGTTTATGAATCCCTTACCAACTCCCAATATTGGGTTAGGCTGCTTTTTCATGATTGCCCTTGCATAATTAGCCACTCAAAGCCATTTCCTTTTTTCATTGCTATTCTAATTTCTACCTTGTACAGTAATTAAACAGAGTTACATAAGCATTCTATCATGCTGACACAACTATACCACTGGCAATCCTAACTACTCCACTGGAAACAAAATCGCCAAAAAATAAAAAAGGACTTGAATTTGACAAAATATCTTTGGTGTGGTACAGAAATCGTAACACATAAACCTGTGAGCTTTTGCCATGTATACCTGATCATCATGGCATGTACAAATAATAATGTTTTCCTTTTCTGAAGCAATATCACTATCGAAGGGTTTCTTTTCTTCTTTCCGCCAGAGTGATATCATTTGTAAATAGATTTCAGCAATAAACAAAAATATCAGAGCGATATATCCTTTGTAAATTATCATATCTATTATTATTATTATTATTATTATTCAGTAATATCATCACCGTGGAATGTCATCATCCCAACTGCATTAAATTAAAAGAACAATCACAAACCATCATCTCTGACTATAAAACTTCCCAATCTCATCTGGGTAATTTGAACTTTCAGGATTCTGTAATAAAAATGTAAGAATTTTACATAATTTAATCTGCAAGACCTATTTTATAGCAGAAACATTCAAAGTTCATTATGAATATTTATATATGGCATTACAAAGATGCTCTCACCCCCAAACTTAGTCCAGAGTTTACACTAGCACAACTAATATATTATTCAGTCAAAAATTTATCTCTAAAAAGCATCTCAATCAAACTAAATGTAGGTTTGACGAAAATGTTTTGTGCAATCATGAAAAATTGAAAAATTTTGATTGGGATAATGGTTGCACGATAAAGTAAGATTATTTATAAGCAGAAGTTTAACCATCACAAATATAATAAACAACATTAATAATATAATATAGTCAGCAGTTCGAAATTATTCTTCAAGCAATATCTTAACTGAATCTTAAGTTACAGGTTTTATAACTAAAATATGCATCCACTAAAATCCCTACCACCTAGCAAATTGGCCGAAAGGTAATTGGTTTGTTGTATTGTTACTTGTACCATCGGAAAAGGGTAAACGTTTCTACCACCACTATTACTTAATTCAAATTCTATAGCAAGCAACAAAGCATGCTTCGTTGACAACATCATTGAGCACTAAATACCTTTTCTGGATCTCCTTCATTCTCTCCATAATTCATGTCCTTATCACCAAAGTGGATCACAATTGTTTTCATGAGTTCATACACCATATTTTATTATCACTTTTATCCACTGTGATCTCATTCATGCCTAGAATTACAGCTCCACCACTAGATTAACAGAAAATCCACTAGAATCAAATGATAAAATCAATTAAAGAGACTAGCTGGCGTAGATGGAGCCTGCTGGAGCTGGCTAAACTAGCACTTGGTAACCAGCTCTGGACCATCACTTGCCGCAAATAGTATATGGGACCTAACTAAAGCGTATGATCAGGTAGGTGGTCACAGTGGGATACTGAGAAGGACCTTTGATTGGGACATTATGTGAGTTGTATTTGTTATCTATGAATATCTGTAGTGACTTGTTTTTGGTGGGTCTCTATTATTGTATAGTTTTTTTTTTGTAGAATTTAACATAATATTCCAATTGATTATGTTCTTACTTCTAATTTGACTCTGCTTGTGAGTACATGTTATAATTTATACGTGTTATACAATATGATTTAAGATTAGAGTTTTGGGTAGTATTCTCTTTTATCAACATGTTCAAAAACAGCAGTCAATTCCACATCAATTTAACTAATACGGTCTGAATTTCACCTTTAAAGTTTTCTGACTAATTACCCTATTTCATCTGGGTCTTGAAATCAAAGTTGTCGAAATAGTTTGGAACCCATCTGGGCACAGTTTCCATTACAGACTTGCAGCTTCCAAATATTTACAGTAAAAAAGAGTATAATTCATATAATCACAGCTAAGGATAGTTATCCATTAGAAAAAAAGGAAAGAAAACCACAGAGATCTTATAACAATTATATCAGCCACGTTTTCTTTACGTCAAATTTTCTTTTCCTAATATTCAAGAGATGTGATTACTATAGCAGTTTCAAGCAGTTAATTGCATGAAGAGAAAGGTTGGTCCGTTGGCATTTGAACACCATGAAAGATGGATGAAGATAGTAATTATTACTAAAAAATAAAAAATTACCCACTGTTATCTCAGATCAATGGGATTTCGCCAAGTGTTGTTGATGCTAGTGGTGGGAGCAAATAGTCAATGTTGCACAAACAAAGTCAACCAGAGGCGATCCCCTTGCTTGCACTACGGTCAACCACTAACTGGGTGTTTACTGTTTTGTGGATCTTAGCCGATTTTTCACCGTTACAATAATAGGGTCTGGAGGGGATCCCCATGCTCCCCACAAGTCCAAATCCAACTATCCAATAACCCGGGCTGTCCCATAACTCGTTGAGCTGACTCGGGAATGAGCCTGAGAATTTAGAGAGAAAACATTAAAGATATTAATTCAATGAAAATTTAAAAAATTTAACAACTTTACTTATAATTATTAAATTAGTTAACAATTAATTTATTTGTTTCACAAGAAACATCGAAAAATGGTTTTAGACTACTCTTATAGTTCCTTTGATTTATTTCTCATTTACTTTTAATTAATTTATAATTCTAAATTTTTCACATTAATCTTAATATATGTATACAAAATTACACTACATTTTCCAAAGTAGAAACCGATTCTCAATCCAAAAGATTTAAAGTGAGAAAAGAATAATTCAAACACAAAAACTATTTTATAATTATCTATTAAAATGAACATAAAAGTTAGAACTAGAATTATATAAGAATTAAATGAAAATGAACCAAATATATAATTGCAATTGTCCTACAAGGTCAATATAGAAAGTGTTGCTTACATCAACGCCTCTCAAATCTACAAGTAGGATTATCATGCAGACAGTTGTGCCATTGCTGCAACTAGAAGGAGAGGCGTGCAAGAGTAAAAAGTAAAAAAACCATTTTTGTTTTTTAAAATTTTAGCTGTTAAAATATTTCTGAAGCAATTTTAATACATTTGAGTTAAATTTCTCTCTTACCCAATAAAAAGTAAATCGTCTACATTTTAGAATATTCATAAAAATTTTCTGATCCAAACTAAAAAGATATAATTTTAATCTACCTTTTGTAAGACGCTTGTTTATATGAGCAAGGAATCAAAATGAATCAAATTTAACTATAAACAATAAACATAAAGTGAAATAGACCACTTTAAACAAAAAAAAAATGATTCATTCCCATGAAAAATAGGACACTGGGTCAAATTGTAGGTTACACAAATGTCATGATTACCTCAAGGAAAAAAGGACTTAAAGCGTCTGAGCTATTCACCTACAAAAAGAGAGAGAAAAAGAGATCACGGATACAGTGACGGATAAATAAATGGCTCAGAAGTAATATTTCAAACAATTCAAGGGCATTCTCACAAACGCTCTCTCTATAAATACAACATCTTTGCAATGCCATGTCTCCTGACTCACAAATCCATTACCAGACTAAAAAGCTTTCCATTTCAAAAAGCGGCAAAGAAGAAAGTCATGGGGAATTGCCTAGTTCTTGAAGAGAAAGTAGTAAAGGTTATGAGGACGGATGGGAAGATCCTCGAATACAAAGCACCCACCAATGTCCACCAAGTTCTCTCAGAATTCTCGGGCCATGCAATATCTGATTCATTCCCAGACTTCCGGCATCTTCAACCGGACACCAAACTGCTTGGAGGGAACTTATACTACCTTGTGCCTCTTCCACTGGCGCGCCAAGAACGTAAGAAAAAGAAAGTCAGGTTTTCAAATCCGGAGGTGGAAGAAAACGGGGGACAAGGAAGTGGGTTTGTGAGGATTAAGCTGGTGATCAGTAAGCAAGAACTGCAGGAGTTACTTCAAAAAGGAGGAGAAGAGTCAGTTCACGAGATTGTTTCGAAGATTCAGAGTAAACAGTTAAGAATAAAAGAGATCGACCATGAATCTGATGGTGGTGATACAAATTGTAGAGGATGGAAGCCTGTGTTGGAAAGTATACCTGAAGTAAACTAGTGACAAATAGCGTAAAGTCTATACCCTTCTCTCTTTACTATAAAGAAATGTACAAAAAAAAGAATTGAAAAAAGAAATACACACTTGGACTCGTTAACCTTCTGTAGTTTTAAAAAATATATAGACAGTGTCTCCATCAAAAGAATGGAACAAAACAATACAATTTAGCTGCTCTTCAGATATCACTAGTGCTCGCTATATATTCTCTTTTATCTAGTCTAACAAATAAAGCTGAGCAATCAAGAACCAGAAAAAACGAACTAAAGTCCGTTCTAAACCGTCTTGTTAATGTGTTTTTGCTTGCTTGAAATACATATTCCTCGCTGGTAAAAGCATAACATTATAAGACTGATACACCAGAACCAACCAAGAAAAGCATCAGATTAGTTCAGTTAGATCAGTATACAAGACATATATAAATGGAACTGAGAAATCAGGATTGCTAAGCAACCATTTTGTGCTGTCTGATGGCAAGGAGTATAATGGAGGTAACAATTATAGAGAATAATACAAAATATTCAGACATGTCAACTAAACAAGCGGAAGATGATAAGGTCGCTACATATGCAAGCCACTAGTGGCCAAGGAATCATCTGCCAAGTCACCCAAAAATTTGAAGAACAGAAAAAAGAAAAAAGTTAAGGATATGCATCGTTTATTAATTAATAGATTAATCAATTAACCTATTAAATCTTCTCTTAATTAGTCATAAAAAAAATTAATATGCACATATCATTGTCGTTTATAACCATAATTATTATAGTTTTATAGTGGTTCTCCTATTGCTTCTACCACAATGGTGGTGCTGGTAGCTGGTGCTATTGCCCATAATTAAAAAGAGCACTTGAGGTTTAAATTGATGAGACAACTCAAGACCCAGTAAGAACGCAAAGATAATAAATACGGCGGCGGAAGAAAAACTTTTACTTCTCTTTCGAATACATGAGTCATGATGATTCCCCTATAATAGCATTAGGGAATTTGGCAAATAGTATAATTTTTTCTCCTGTTGATTGTGGCTTTCCATTACCATTCAGGAAATGTAAGCTCTTCAACTTCTTTTCAGGGTATCGAGAGTCTTCCGAATCTTAGATCCAAAGGTTAGATTAAGATAAAAAAAGCCGAAAGACAACTAAGAAGATGCGCTGATAATGAAGAAATAGGAAAGGCTGCAGTAAAGTACTAGTCATTAAATAAGTATTTTGAGGGAAATTTCAACAAGAATAGTCGAAGCAATTAAGTAACCTACTGACCATGGGATTCAAATGAAGATCAAATTTCACTTACCCAATTTAATGATCCTGAACCTCAAGAGGCATGGTGCCTTAAATGAACTGTAGATGCGCCTTTGTTCCGGAAACAAAATTTACTTCTAACACTAGAAATTAGTACCATAACCTTTGTGAAAAATTAGGGGCTAAAAACATCAAAATTTTATTAAACACATCACGCTTAAAATCGCATCTCCAACAAAAGAGACTTGAAAGTGATGGCTTTCCAGCCGCATGGTCATTACCTAACAGTCATTCACTATATCAGACCATCTCAGAAGCATCAAGCACAGACGCAACTCTACAGTATACACCATTTTGATATGATAATGCACA